TTGTGTATTGATATAGGAGGGGCGAGTTATTGTATATGATTCACGACAGCTGAATCCCTACGAGAAGAATTACTCTGTACACGATTTAGAGTTAGCCGCAATTGTTCATGCTCTTAAGATCTGGAGGCATTATCTTTATGGGGTGTCATGTAAGGTTTATACCAATCAATGTAGCTTGCAGCATTTGTTCAAGCAGAGGGATCTCAATTTGCGGCAGCGCATGTGGCTTGAGTTACTAAAAGATTATTATATTACCATCCTTTATCATCCGGGCAAGGCTAATGTAGTTGTGGATGCCTTGAGTAGAAAGGCAGAGAGTATGAGTAGTTTGGTATTCATTTCAGTAGAGGAGAGGCCACTAGCTTTGGACATTCAGTCCTTGGCTAACAAACTTGTGAGGTTGGACAGTTCAGAGCCTAGCCGAGTTCTTGCATGCGTCGTCGCCCAATCATCACTATTCGAGAAGATCAAGGCTCGTCAGTTTGATGATCCACACTTATTGGTTCTCAAAGAGACGATACTATAGGGTGGTGCCAAGGAGGTAACTATTGGTGAGGATGGTGTTCTGCGACTCTAGGGTCACCTATGTGCTCTTAATGTTGATGGCTTGAGGGAGAAGATCCTAGATGAGGCACAGAGATCTCGGTATTCTATTTATCCAGGTGCTACGAAGATGAATCGCGACCTGAGGCAGCATTATTAGTGGTGGAGGATGAAGAAGGACATAGTCGAGTATGTGGCGAGATGTATTAATTGCCAGCAAGTTAAGTATGAGCACCAGAGACCAGGTGGCCTACTCCAGCAGATGACTATACCTGAGTGGAAATGGGAGTGCATTACTATGGACTTCGTAGTTGGGTTGCCACGGACCTTGCGGAAGTTTGATGCAGTTTGGGTCATTGTCGACAGGTTGACCAAGTTGGCACACTTCATTCCGATTGTGACCACGTGTTCTTCATAGAGGTTGGCCCAGATTTACATTCAGGAGATTGTTCGGTTGCATGGTATGCCTATTTCTATCATATCAGATAGAGGCCCTCAGTTTACTTTGCATTTCTGGAGGGCAGTACACAGTGATTTGGGGACCCGGGTAGAGCTCAGCACAACTTTTTATCCGCAGACCGACGGGCATTCGGAACGGACATTTCAGATCTTGGAGGATATGCTCAGAGCATGTGTGATTGATTTTGGAGGACGGTGGGATCGATTCTTACCTTTGGCCGAGTTTTCTTACAACAACAATTATCAATCCAGCATCGAGATGACTCCATTTGAGGCTTTATATGGTCGGCGATGTCGTTCACCCATTGAATGGTTTGAGCCTGGCAAGGCTAAGTTATATGGTACTGATTTAGTGAAGGATGCCTTGGAAAAGGTAAAGTTGATTCAGGAGACACTTTGCATAGCATAATCCAGACAGAAGAGTTACGAGGATAAGAAGGTGCGTGACTTATCATTATGGTGGGCGAGAAGGTTCTCTTGAAAGTCTCGCCGATTAAGGGAATCATGCGGTTCGGGAAGAAGGGCAAGTTGAGCCCAAGGTTTATTTGTCCATTTGAGATGTTGAGACGGGTTGGAGAGGTTGCTTATGAGCTAGCTTTGCCTCCCAGTCTATCAGGAGTTCATCCGGTCTTCCATGTGTCTATGCTCCGGAGGTATCATACCGACAGGTTGCATGTGTTAGACTTTAGCATAGTTTAGCTAGATGAGAGCCTAGGTTATGAGGAGGAGCATGTTACCATTGTTGACAGGCAAGCTCGCCAACTAAGGTCCAATAAGATTTCTGTGATAAAGGGTCAGTGGAGGGTCCAACCACTCGAGGAGGTGACTTGGGAGGCCGAGGAGGAAATGCGGAACAGATATCCACACTTATTCGGCACTCCAGGTATGATTCTAAACACTTTCGAGGACGAAAGTTTCTTTAAGAGGTGGAGAATGTAATGACCCGACCGATCGTTTTGCTTTCTAGATCCCCCTTCCCAAAAATAAGACTCACCGTATGTGCTTTTACAGTTTTATGACTTGCGGGGATAGTTAGTTCGGGTTTGGAAGGATTGAGGTTGAAATCGGAATACTCAGTTCCTTAATATTGGCTTTAAAGTGTAAGTTTGACTTGGTCAAGAATTCTAGTAAACGATCTCGGAACCAAGATTTGACGGTCCCAATAGGTTCTATGATAATTTTGGACTTGGACGTGTGTCCGGATCGGGTTTTGGATGACCCGAGAGCGTTTCGGTGCCCAAAGTTGAAAGTTGGCACATTGAAGGTTTTGAAGTTCTTTAAAATTGGTTGGGAGTAGGTTTTGATGTTATCGAGGTCTGTTTGGGATTCCGAGACAGGGAATAGTTCCGTATGGTGATTTAAGACTTGCACGCAAAATTTGGTACCATTTTGAGTAGTTTAGGTATGATTCGGCGCGTTCGGAAAAAGTTAGAAGAACTTGAAGTTCATAAGTTGATCCGATTAAATTTGGGATGTGATTCTTAGTTTTGGCATTGTTTCCCGCGTTCCGAGGGTTCGAGCAAGTCCATATCATGATTACAAACTTGTTGGTATATTTGGATGGGGCCCCGGATGCCATTCAGACAAGGCACAGAACTCATTTTGACTTGGAATGAATAGCTGAAGCAATTAGAGTTTCTGCTGCAATCGCACCTGCGGAGGGCCAGCCAAAAGTGCGAGCTCCCAGCGTTGGCTGACCGGGTATCATAGATGCAGAGCATGGTGCGCATCTGCAAAAGCGCAAGTGCGATGGAAGCAACCGCAGAAGCGGCCAAAGCCGTAGGTGCGGCATGTGCGACGCCGAAGTGGTCCCGCAGAAGCGGGCCAGTTATCCACAGATGAGGAAGTAGGCAAACTGAGGGAGAGCCACATCTGCGATGATCTTTCTGCAGAAGCGGAGCCGCAAAAGCAGCAAATGAGCCGCATAAGCGGAAGTGCTAGAGGAAGAGAGGTTCATTTAATACGGGACGTAGGCCATTTTTTACTCATTTCTTTCACTCCTTAGATGATTTTGGAGCTTCTTAGAGAGGGGTTTTCACCTAGCTATTGAAAGTAAGTAATTTCTATCCCATGTAAGTTAAATACATAGGTTATCGGTAGATTTAAACATGTAAAAATGTGAAAATTATGGGTTTAGTTCAAAAACCTAGGTTATTATAAAAATGGGAGTTAACCATGAAAATGATTATGGAATTGGGTGAAAATTATATATTTGAGTTCTTGAGGTTATGGATAACAATTATCTTAGAAAATTTCAGGAATCCGGGCACGTGGGCCCGGGGATAAATTATAAGAATCCTCCAATTGGGGTTGGATAATTACTCTAATAGTTAAATTATGAACTTTTGAACACATATTGATTAATTTATATAATATTTGACTAGTTTCGGGTTGTTTGGCACCGAGTTGAGGATTTAAGCATACTTTTGGATCTAAGTGAGCTTGAGAACGAAGTAAGTCTCTTGCCTAAACTTGTAAGAGGGAACTCATCCCCTTAGGTGTAATTTTTATTTGTGAATTACTTGTGCAGGGAGCTACGTACACACTAGGTGATGAGAGTCCATGTGTAGCAATATTCCACGGGTTGTCCGGGTAGCCTTAGATTTATATTATGCCTTGATTGTAATGTTATGTTTATTATGAATATTAATTGTCTAAAATAAAGTTGAGATTAGGGATTGCAAAGTTGAAACTTCCCAATTTAGATTTCTTATTTTTGGGAAGAACTGAGGAATATATATAATAAATCTAAGAAATACACAAGGCTCTTAGGGCACATGTTAAATGAAGGATAGCTAATGTGCACCATCCATGGAACACAAGAAGAAGAAGCAGATTCTGACGTCGGTGGTCGGCACCAATCTCTCCTCAACCAAAGACGATCATTCTAGATTAGTTATACCAAAAATGGGAGTTCCACAAAGCATAGCCTCAATTCAATTTGGGCAATGGATGACGGGTATGGGTAGTGCTCCAACAATATTACAAGCCCAAAATCGAGATCAACTAGAGATTCCAGAAAAGATACAGGTGGAGATAGAAGACCAGCAACTAGGAGCTAATACTGTAGAAATGAAACTAACGTTCTCTGCGAAATCCAGTGCGGTCAAGCCAACTATGGTGGACATAGTCAAAGGTAATCGAGCACATAACTTAGGGCAATAACTTAATTACTTTCCCCCTACCCTGAAGGATAGAATTAAAGTTGTCAAGTTAAGTGTCAATGCCATAGTTCGTCTATAGGGTATGGAATGCTGTCACAACTACATCTAAAGACATGCTTAAGTTCATCTATAGGGTATGGAATGATGTCACAACTCCTCAGGTTTATCTCCATGATGAAGGCTATTTCATATTTAGATTTGACAATGAAGAAGATAAACTAAAGATTTTACAAAATGGCCCTTATACTTACAATAATAGGCCTATGTTTCTGAAGCAATGGGTACCAAACTTCAAATTAGCTGAAGAACCACTTAATGCAATACCAGTATGGGTAGTCTTCCCAAACCTACCCATCTAATATTGGGCGACAGAAAACTTGGGACGAATAACTAGCTGCCTGGGGAAACCAATCTGTACTGATAAACTCACAGTAAAAGATTAAAAAATCTCATATGCCAAGGTGCTTATTGAAATGGATGTGGCCTAGCCTCTCCCTGAATCAGTAATGCTAGAGGAGACTGATGGTAGCTGCATTTGCCAACCAATTGAGTATGAATGAAAACCATAGTACTGCCAGGATTGCGTGCAGATTGGTAAGCACAAAGCAAACTGCAAAGCACAGATAAAGACACACTCTAGAATAATTAACAAGCAGCAACCAAGGAGACAACATAAGAAAGTAAATCAGCAACAATGGAAAGCCAAACCCATTACAAAGCCACCTACTGATGCTACTGAAAAGACAGACGATGGACTAAAGGAAAGCCACAAGGAAGTGAATACTATGGAGGAAAGCCATGAAACTCAAAGATTATGACAGGGGCAAGCAGAAGATGGATAAAAAGAAGGATACCAGGATTAGGTCTCCATTAGTAACTGAAGATGTCGAACAATTCCTATGCCAGAACAGATTCAGCGTTCTAAGGATGCAACCTGAGAAAGCTAATACCATTCTGGTAAAAAGGGATAATTTTGTAAACAAAGATCCCCCATGATCATTTGCTCAGGGAACATAAGAGGGCTGAACAAGGCCTTCAAACAAAAGGAATTAAAATCCTTTTTGCTTAAAAATAAAGTGATACTGCTGGGATGTCTAGAAACTAAAATAAAGCAGAACTGAGCAGAAAAAATAAAAAGAAAGTTAGGAGTTGAGTGGCTGATACATGCAGACTACACAATCACCCCTAAAAGTAGACTATGAATTTGCCGTAAACTTCACAAGGTTTCAGTAACTATTTTGCTATCGCATATGCAACCGGTACACTGTAAGGTTGAGGACAAGGAGTCACAATTTTCCTGCCACATGACCTTTGTATATGGAGAGAATACACATACTAAGAGGAAAGAATTATGGAGACAACTGAAGCAAATTAGTACCCTGATGTCTGATCCCTGGGTTGTCCTCGGTGACTTTAATACAATCCTCTCTGTGTAAGATAGAGTAAATGTATTACCTGGGAAACAATCAGAGATCGAAGACTTTCAAAACTGCATACAGGAGACTAGACTTGGTCAAATCAGCAGAAAATGATGTACCTACTCCTGGTGCAATAAGAGAGAGGCAAAGGATAGAATATACAGTTTGATTAATTGAGCATTTGATAATGATCTCTGGTTTATGAGGTATGAAAAGCTGGAAGCATTCTACCATCATCCGGAATGCTCAGATCACTCACCAATCATTACAAAAATAGAGGTGGCCAAATAGAAATTTCCTAGGCCATTTAGACTTTTCAATGTACTATTGACTCAGGAGAACTTCAAGGAATCAGTATACAAAGCTTGGGGACAACATATACAAGGGCATACCATGTATGCAATCTGGAGGAAACTCAAGTTGATTGAGTTGGAAACCTCCCAGATGAATAGAGAAATGTCAACATTAGAGACGAAACTGAATGAGCTGAAAGAGAGGCTGCAACATACACAGCTGGAACTGAGTGCAAATCTGTTCAATAAACAACTCATTACAATTGAAAAAGATACTTTGGTACAACTGGAAAAATGGATAACTATATATGAGAAAGTTCTTCGACAGAAATTGAGAGAAACATGGCTAGCTTATGGAGACTCGAACACAAAATTCTTTCATGCAACACTGAAGGCTAGAGAAGCTAGAAATAGAATGTCCTCTATTTGCACAGAACATGGAATACAAGTGCATGAACCTACTCTAATTCAAAAAGAGTTTATAGGTTTCTTTTCAGAACTTACTGGGAACATTTGCATTAGAAATGCCTTGTCTAGGCCCAACCATAGCAAGAGGTGGACCTTGTCTCACTAATGAACAACAACTAGACCTTATATAGGATGTAACAGAAGCAGAAGTGCTTCAGTCTCTGAAAGACCTCCTAGCTGATAAAGCTCCTAGCATTGATGGATTCCTAGCTGAATTCTTCAAACAGTACTGGCATTTGATAGGGAAGGATGGAAAAAAAGGCTACAATGCAGTTCTTTCAAACTGGTAAACTACTTAAGAAAATAAATTGCACTACTGTGACTTTAGTTCCGAAAGAAAAAAACCCCACCTTTGTGAAAGAGTTTAGACCCAGAGCCTGCTGCACTACATTGTACAAACTGATAGCTAAAGTCATTACTGCTAGGTTGAAATTAGTAGTTGACTACTTGGTGGGGCCTTCACAATCAACATTCATCAAGGGGAGAAACATTCTAGATAATGTGATTGTGGCGCATGAAATGGTTCAGTGCTACACACAAAAAGGAGTGTCTCCTAGATGCCTAGTAAAGGTAGACATTAGGAGAGCCTATGATTCAGTTAAACGGGGCTTCGATAGAATGGTCCTACTAGAATATGGAATGCCTGGGAAGTTTGTAAACGTAATTATGGAGTGTGTCAGCACAGTGAGCTATTCTTTGTTATTCAATGGTGGCCTTACACCTAGATTTCAAGCTAAGAGAGGTCTAAGGCAGGGAGGCCCAATGTTTCCATGCTTGTTTGTTCTTGTGATGGAGTATTTGAATAGGTCCCTCAAGCAGCTAAGACATAATCCAAACTTTAACTATCACCCAAGATGCAGCAAGTTGGATATAGTCCATATATGCTTTGCTGATGATTTAATTATGTGTTGCAGAGCTGATCCAATTTCTAAAAAGTTGATGCTTCAGCAGCTCCACCACATCTCTGCAGTATCTGGTCTCAAGGAAAATTTAGAAAAGAGTTCATTGTATGTGGCATGGATCAGTCAACAACTTAAGGAATAACTACTGAAAGAAATATAATTCTTAGAGGGAGAGATGCCATTCAAGTACTTGGGAGTTCCTTTTTCCTCAAAGAAGATCACAATGCAACAATGCCTACCACTGGTTGAGAAAATGGTTGTAAGAATAAGATGACGGTCCGCTAAATTCCTATCATATAGTAGAAGGGTGCAACTTATTGAAAGTGTGTTATTTGAGATGCAAACCTATTGAGCTCAGGTGTTTCTATTTCCTAAGACTGTTATCCAACTCATAACTAGAGTTTGCAGAATCTTCCTATAGACAGGTAGTCATGAGAGCTCAAGGAAAGCCTTGGTTTCATGGGAGATATTATGTATACCACATTCAGCAGGTGGTCTGAACTTCATAGAAATTCATACATGGAATAAAGTAGCCATCATGCAGTATAGCAGTCGGGGGATTATCCTCACCCCTCGGGTATTCACCCGCATCACCAAATAAAGGGTCAACTGCCACCCCTGAGGCGACATTGGCTCCTTAGACAGTTCTTGCTCTCTTTTTAGGTGCCATGTACTGAAAGTTAAAGGAATGCATGAGTTAGAGGAGGAACAGTTTCACAATTAATTCCATCGCACGATCCAGAATATCAAAGAAGGGTATTATTCCTAAATGTCCAAGTAGCTTCCAACTTATAGATGTGGTTGACAACACACCGATAAGGAGGACTATACTAGACACGGCTCTGAGACATCCTAGGACACTTTAAAACCTTAGGCTCTAATACCAAGTTTGTCATGCCCAAACCTTGGGGTGCGCGACCGGCGCTCAACCGAGTGAACCCCGTCGAGCAACCATGTTAGATACTTTCTACCCAACTCACCCATGATCAAGAGAAGACATGATTTCATTAATTAGATAGTAGGAAGATCATATATACAATACTAAATCGTCTCATTGGTTACATCATTTTTAAGTTTCAACATACACACATTCTTATGGTTTGAGTGGAACAACAGATTAAAACACAACATAATCTGTTTGACTTTTCTAGCACCCATATACAACCCACATAGTATCTACGGAGCCTCTAAAAGATACAAAAGAGTGTTATGACAGTGCCGGCAATAAGGCCCCTACCTCAAAATGTGATAATAATATTAACAAAAGATACAATACATGACCCCGAGATGAAGTAGGGCTCACCAAGTCTGTTGGGAAGAGGATATACCACTATCGCTGATCATCACTACCAGCTATGGAACCACCTGCATCCATTTAAAGATGTAGCACCCCCGGCAAAAGGGACGTTAGTACTGTCGAATAGTACTAGTATGTAAAACTAAACACCATCTCTATAGAATGAATAATAATACCAGGGGGAAACAGTCATGAGTTCAATAAGAGCTTCAAATAATACTAAAACATCAAGTAAGGATCACATAAATTCTCAAGTCAATTTCCATGTTATTAGGTTGGGTGATCTTTAGAGACGATATACCATAATTCACAATACCTCAGTATTCTTACACGGAGTCCGATCTCGACCCGATCGGCTAGGTCATCTCATTTGAGACATCAACCATAACCATAATTTCATTATATAATCCAGTACAGTTACTACCATATGTGCGGCATGGCGTCCGATCACGGCCCGATCGTCTAGGCCGTCTCACCCGAGACATTACCTTTTTCAGTCAATCATCTCACATCATATGTTTTCCACATCCTTTCAATTCATTGGCACTAGTGGCCGCAATTATGAAGTCATTCTTGGCACTTGGCCGTATTTGATAATTCCAGTTCCCATTTCCACATTCAAACACCATTATCATTATCAACAATAATAAGGTTTCCCATTCAAGACATTAAATTCACATATGAGAAATTTGGGAATCTTAGGCACATAGAGGCTTTTCATATAATTTGGCATAACAACCTTTATTCGATCTTGACATGAAATCTTAACATTTCTAACACATATTCCACATTTTGAACACATCCTCAAATGGCAATATGACATGATGAAGCATTTATAGTAAATATTGAACATACGTCCTTCAACACGAACACATTAGGAATAGCTAATTCTATAATGATCAATTTGGGACTTACACCAATTACATGAACACCGTGGGATTCGATTCTAAGAAGAAGGAGATTTAGCCAACATACCTCAATTGAGCTTCCTTTAAATTTAAAATATTCCGGAATTCTTAGCAACTTCGATCTATTTTAGAAATACAACAAGTTGGACCAAAATTAGGAAGATGATTATGGTTCTAGCTCATTTGAGCATTTTATCGAACACTAGATGCGCATTAATGTTTTTAAGTCCCTTTTGTAAAAGATTCCAACATTCCCCAACCCATTCTCTACCATATTTAGCTCACAACCTCCCCACATTCTTTGATAACACATGCATGCAAGATAACAACTCCCACGCCAAATACTTATCTTACTAATTACCCAATTCTAGACAAAATTCGAAATTGAGAGTTAGGGTGTAGAATCTTACCTTTAGGATGAAGACTTTCCTTGATAATCTTCAAGGATTGAGCAAGAATTGTTGGATATTAGGTTTGAAGGTTACTTCCCCACTCTAAGAACTCTTTCTCACTCTAAAAATATCAGTAATATGCTCAAAAATGGACTATGGCATATGTTTTAACAAAATAGGGTCGGGTTTAAAAACCCAAAAATGAAGCTCTGGAATAAGGTATGTGGTCGCATATGCCACCGCATAATGGATATGTGGTCTGCATATCGGCCGCACAATTTGGTGCCAAAAACTGGAAAAACTCTGCCTTGGTCGCATAATGCGCCACAGAACCTCACTCCACAAAACTCCTAAGGCTGATTATGCGACAAAAGTGCGACCTGCGAAATGTTTATGTGGTCGCACAATTGGTCGTGAAATTGACATCAATAATGGCCCAAGTAACTGCTTCACTCTGCGACCATTCTGCGGCCCGCAGAGTAATTATGCGGCTGCATAATGGGTCGCATAAATGCCTATTTCTGCAAAATATTTTCCTTCAATGCCCCAACGCACTGTTCAATCCCCAGTACACTATTATTAACCTCTACGCCTACCCCGACATCACGGAACCCCGATTTGTTTTTTAGGAAACATTTCACGGGGCCTTACAAATATGACCTCATAATGGAGTTTTGACAGTTCCAATAGCTCCGTAGGGTGATTTTGGTCTTAGGAACGTATCCAGATGTTTATTTGGAGGTCCGTAGGTCATTTTGGCATTAATTTGCTTAGGTTGGAAATTGGATGATTTTTAGGAAGTTTGACCGGGAGTGGAATTTTTTATATCGGGGTCGGATTCTGATTTCGCAAGTTGGAGAAGGTACGTAATGTCAATTATGACTTGTTTGCAAAATTTGAGTTCAATCGGACTTGATTTGATAGGTTTCGGCGTCGGATGTAGAAGTTTGAAATTGTAAAGTTCATTAGGCTTGAAACGAGTACAGTTCCCGTTTTTAGCATTGTTTGATGTGATTTAAAGGCTTGACTAAGTATGTATAATATTTTAGGACATGCTGGTATACTCGGACGGGGTCCCGGGGGCCCTGGGTTTGATTCAAACTTGAATCCGGAACAAAATTGGACTTGGTGCATAGCTGAAGTATTGTTGTGTCTGGTGCAATCACACCAGCGCATTTTGGGCTACAGGTGCGGCACCGCAGAAGCAGCCATCAAGCCATAGAAGCGGATTTGGGACTGCTCAGTTGGGACTACAGATGCGGTCATGGCCCCACATAAGCGATCTCGGAGAAGCGAGAAGTAGAGCGCAGAAGTGGCCAAGGATGACTTGTGTAGTGGTCGCAAGTGCGTGGTTGTTTCCGCACTTGCGTGGTCGCAGAAGTGAAAAGTTGGGCGCAGAAGCGAAAGTTGGTCAGTGGGGAAGTTCTGTAGGTGCGATTAGATTCCCACTCCTGCGAGGGCGCAGATGCGGATGAAGGATCGTAGAAATGAAAGGGAGGCCTTGAGGCCTGTTTGCAGAAGCGGTATTGTTTCCGCAAAAGCGGAACCGCAGATGCGGTTAAGTTGCTGCAGATGCAGTTTAACTAGGCAGTGTTCAAAATTGAAGGGTTTCGTGATTTCTCTCATTTTGGACCTTGCAAACTCGGTCTAAGGCGATTTTTGAGAGGATTTTTTAGGGATTTCTTGAGGTAAGCCACCTGTGAACATTTTTATTCAATAATCTTGTTTCCCCATTGAATTTCCCACCTAGTTCATGTGTATTTAAGGTGGAATTTGGGAGTTTGAGGAGTTTAATTTGGAGATTTGAGTGGCGATTTGGTGGCGGATTTGAGTAATTTTGGTACGAGTGTGATCGATATCGAATTGGTGTTCATATTTCGTGACTTTTACCCGATTCTGAGGCGTGGGTCAATTTGTTGGGGAGATTTTCTAATTCCTTTCTAAAGTCGCAATTTCATTATTTAAATTAGTTTCTTATAGTCCTATTTATAGTATGTAATTGTTTGGGCTAGATTCGAGTCGTTCAGAGTGAGAAAATCGAGGGAAAGGCATTCTATTTGACTGATTGAGCGAGATTTGAGGTAAGTGACTTATCTAACCTTGTGTGGGGGAACTCCCCTTAGTTGTTGGTACTGTTATGATATTTGTAATACGTGAAGGCAGTGTACGTGAGGTCACGAGTGCATATTCGGGTTAAATGTTGAAAAATTCGGTTCTTGCTGAGTAGTTTTCTTTTAACTCCTTAACTGAATTTCTCTAGCATGTGTAGTCATCATGTTTAGCCTAATGTCACATGTCTACGTGTCTTAACTCTTACTTGCAATTTGTGCAACATGCTTAGTTGAATTACCTGCTTCCTTGATTTTGTATTCAATCTTTAACTGTGGGATTCCTTGTTGTATATTCGTTGTTCCATAGGTTATGAGTTGTGTATTTACTTTTGGGACAATGAGGTGGTACCTCGGGAGCGCCCCTGTTGCATATTTAATTTTTAGACTACGAGGCGGTAGCTCGAGAGCTCTCTTGTTGTGTATTTACTTTTGGGACTATGAGGCGGCACCTTGGGAGAGCCCTTGTTTCATATTTACTTTTGGGACTACGAGGCGGTACATTGGTGGCTCCCATGTTATATCTTCTGCTTTTGACAAGGCTGGTGAAGAAGCCGAATGGCTCCGGAATTTCTTGGAAGATATTCCATTTTGACCCAAACCTTTAGCACATATATGTATACATTGTGATAGTTAAGCAGCAATAGGTCGGGCAAGGAGCATTATGTATAACAAAAAATCTCATCACATACGATAGAGACACAATACTGTTTGACAAGTACTCTCTAGTGGTGTTATCACGATTGACTACCTGAAGTCAAGAGATAACGTGTCGGATCCACTTACAAAAGGCCTAACTAGAGAGGTAGTTGAAAGATCATCGAAGGAAATAGGGTTAAGGCCTAGGACAAGTCATCATGGAGGTAACTCTACTTAGCAAACTGGAGATCCCAAGAGCTAGGTTCAAAGAGATCAAACAAATTTATGAATGACGGTTCAACATTGTCAAATAACTCAACCCATTCTCGTGATGAAGACAATGTTAAGAAAATAGGGTAAAACATTAAGGATTTTTGATGAGTCAATAAAGCTTAAAGCTTCTTATTGATTTGCTAAGTCTGGTAGGAAATGACCAGATAGTATGTCTATAGGACTACACGTTTAGAAATTACCTATGTGGGTGTGAAGTGTAAGCCGCTTCAAGGGGAATGAAAGTAAAGGCCCATTCTCTAAGCACTCATGAAACCAGGCGGTGTTCATGGCTGAAACGAACACAACCGTGAGAACCATAGATGGTTAAGGGTTAATTGTGTGACTTATGTTGTCTAGGTATACAACAAAGCTCGACGGTGCAAAGATATCAAATCTACCGATTGACCGAGTATATCCGATAAAAGTTCACTACAAAAAGTTCAAAGAGAAATCTACTTATCCAAATGCAATTAATCCTTGCTTGTAAATCATACACTCGTTTGGGCATTTCTTTGTCTTATAGCCATTTCCCATTCATGTGGGGGGATATTTGGGATTGGAGGATGGTGAATGGGAAATTGAGGGAAGAAATGTGAAGGGAAAGTGAGTTGTTCCCTTATGCTTTGGAAAAGAGCAATTATCCATCATTGGTAGTGGAAAGAAAAGGGAATGTGCTTATATTTAGAAAGCACTTCCCTTGGTGTTAAATGGGTTAGAAAGAAGGTAAGCCTCACCCCGTCGTCGTCGT